TTGGCCTTGCAGTCCGGGCAGACCCAAGATGACGGCACCGACCTATTAAATATTAAATAATATGATTAGAGAAAATTTGTGATTTAATTAAAAACAGGAACGCATGTCAAAGCAATAAATATGTAGAGGGTCGCAGGCTTCAAAATTTAAATGTCAATAACAATCTCAGTACAGAGTACTAAAAAAACCTCAAAAGTACGTGTAATTACATCTATTTGCTAAGTTTTATTGCAATATCCTTAAATTCGCCACTGCACAGGACTTGACACTGGAGATAATAAAAATCGGTTCTCACTACTCAAAGTATATTGAGAGAAAAACGCCTTGAATTGGAGAAATAGCAAAATCAACCATTAAAATAATTGCTCCTTAAGAAAATTTAGGCGCTTCGAAATGGAATGGGACCACTATGGAAGTACCCCCTTTCCAACAAAAAAAGAATCATGAAAATCGGTTCACAAATACCGGAATTATCGCGTAACATACATACAAAAAAAAACATACAGTTGAATTGAGAACCTCCTTTTTTGAAGTCGGTTAAAAACTCATTTACATTATAAAAACAATTTGTCACAAGCAATCCAATTAGTATTTTCTTAAATCTAGACGTAGGTAACATTTTTATATCGGCAGGTTATGCATTATATAATTTTACGCACATGTTATAGCATTCCTTTGAAAACATGTAGTAATGTGTACAAACGATAGGGATATCGGGTTAATCTGCACTCCAAAGTAGTAAAATAAGGCATTTTTCCACGATATTCGAGGTTTTGCTCGAGGTAATTGACACAACCATGACGTACAAAACTATAATGGCGGACTGAACTCAAATTTGCGGAGCTCCGCCAACTGTGGGCACACGTACCACGCAAACAAAGCACTTCTACTGCATTTATTGTTCTGTGGCCATGACGTTCGTCACAAGGCACCTTTATCAAGATCTCACATGTTTCTTTCATTATCTGATAAGGCGGCAGCAGGACCATTAATATCACTAACGTTTTTTAATCTGCACTGAATAAACGTGACTAAGCTAAAAATCAATATTCTATTCATCACCCGACTTCGAAAAAGTGGGGTTCTATGGGCGCAGCGATCATGAACATGCTCAATTGGCGAGTACGGTATTTTAAAAAGCAGATAGGTTGCTTTTACACCATCTAAAAATTTTTTTTTGTAAAAAATTTTCAGATAATATAAATGAAAGTATTAATGATATTCTAGAGTTGAAAATTGCTTGTTGCAGGTCGAGATCCCGAATGTAAAGCTGAACAACGGGCGGGACATGCCTGCCCTCGGATATGGGACATGGATGGGAGTCAATTCCCAGGTATTTGTCATTCACCCAGTTTCAGTTGTTAAACTGATATAACATTTGTCAACAAAAAACCAAGATCAAACTACACTTCGTTTTTTTAGTATTAGAAAAAACGTAAACAAAGAAACTATGTTATTAAACTTGTCGTTCAGTCCACAAATTACAGTAGGTAAAGGAAAATATCGTCCGATTTGATGACAAATGACATGATGAATGTTATTAATTTCTATAAAGATTTCATTTATTATTTGGAAGCTCTATTTCTTTAAGGTTTTTTATAGTGCTAGCCATTGAAATACAAACTATGTAAAGATATATTTTTTTCATTTAATTAATAAAAGCGTGTGTTACGAGTAAAAAACACGTAATAATTATTTATAGATAATATATATATTTGAGAATTGTGTTTCACAGTAAAATGCTTTGCTTACAAATTCAAAATGGTGCCTGGACAAAGATCCAAAATTTTCTTTTTAGCTATTGAATTTTTTTGTGAAACAACTACTAGTTTGTTATAATTATTAATACAAAGATCGAACGCATGGAAAATTATTTTCGACTCATCGAAACCATGACCACGCTGAACCGTAGCTTTGCTCTAACTAACTGAGCTACAGGTCAAGTTATAGAGTTGAAGAAATTTTCCTATGTGTTTTTGTGCTAGATATTTGTACCTATTGGTTTTCGTTCAAAGATCGCGTTTTCGCTTAGTAAATTATCTTTAGTATTTATCTAATAATTAGAAAACAATACGTAATAGTTTTAGCTTGAATTTATCCGTTTGCAAAGCCCATTACGTAGACAACAAAATAAACTCTGTTATATCGCGTTTGCTGTGACGTCTGGCTCCAACAAGTATATGTATAATAGGAAATGAAACTATTTTTCCCGATTTAAATCGCGTATATTTGTTTTTTCAAACAAACCGACGTTTCGGGCCGTTTACAGGTCCCATGGTCACGGTTGACTTTTGTTTTGACTGTTGTTGTGACTGTTTGTTTGAAAAAACAAATATACGCGATTTAAATCCGGAAAAATAGTTTCATTTCCTATGTGTAACAATCGCGAAAACCTAAGAACTCGATATATATGTATAATATCATTATGTCTATTTTTTTTTATAATATCAAGTGACGGGACGAACAATTTGTGCGCCTGATTACACACCTTTTTTTACACACCTGTCCATAACAATTGCAATGCCCCTCAGAGCATTAAATCGCAAAGATCTGAGAGGTACCGCCACTGCGCCCATCACCCAGAAGAGTTGTAATTTCACCAGTCCATGTACTAAAGCAATCTGCGATATTTTCGAACCTGGGCAGAAAGTTGACAGTGGCGCACCCTTTTACCAGCGTTTGAAATAAATTATTAAAAAAACTCACAAATCGATACCTCCAATGAAACCCAACGAGCCAACTTCATTTCTGGTCATTTTCTGTTTTAGTTTTTGGTTCTCTTTTTTTTTTCACAAATTCGTTTTTTTTGTTTTTTATTCGAATTTCTTTTTGTTTTGTTTCTTTTTTCCACAAAATTTGGGACCATAATATTAATATAAAGAAATCTGAACCTTTTAATAAGTTTATTTTTTATAAGGTTACTTTGTATAAGGAATGTGGAGTCTTAACGGTTCGTGGTCTATTTCTGCTCGGTGTAGTGATCCTTGTACATCGTGCGGTGGTCTCTTCTCCTGATTATACCAAACTTCTCGACAAAAGAATTTTCAAATTACATCTCCCGGTTATTAATTCCGCCTTCGCTAGGAGATTCGCAAGATTCTTGCACCCATACGTCTACAATAAGGTTAACGCACTGTGTTGTGTCAAGCTCTGTTCTATATCAGAGCTTAAACGTAAGGTCAGTGAGTTTCTGGGCTCTTTGACCTACTGTCAATTAGAAGATATTTTAAAATAGGTACGCTAGTGTTGCTGACTGTTTGGTGGCAAGACCTCAGTAGTCTGACACTCCGAATTTATGGAGCCGAGACAAGGCGGTTCACTTCAGCTTCTTCTTTCATTCCTATACACATACACTCACACACACACTTACACACACACACACACACACAAAATATCTTGCATTCTTTTAAAATAGATGTAAATCTGTAATATTGTTTATCTTTGATTTCGTATGTATAATTTAAGTTAATTCTTCATTCCTAAATTTAGTTTTGGTATTGTCCTTCTCTATCGCGCTATTATTTGTACTAGCAACAAGGATATATTGATTACCTGCGAGACAGGCCTAGCCTAGTGCAGGAATCATTACGCAATTCTCTCTGCTTGCGATTTACGCTACAATTAAGTTGTGTTCCTTGATTAAGTCAATTCATTTTAAATGTAATGTACCCGCACTATTTAATTGTGAAATAAATTATTTGTATTTGTATTATTTGTATTTGTATTTGGCCCAGCAATCTACTATATTAGTCATAATGCAAAACTATCTTTGTTATTACCAAAAAAACGCCGGTATCGCGCTGTCTCCTAAGCCCCGTTCCCTTTAAACAGCATAATGTCATTATGTCATCTAGCGAGTTCTAAGCAGACAAAAAGTTCGTACTCTGGAATCCAAGATGGCGTTCCAAATAAAAAAATAGTTTTATATATTGTGTCATCATTTTCAATGTGCGATATGAAAACATTGTATTTGGTTACCCCATACCCCCACATTGGCCTTGATGCTTTTATAGTGACTCGTATGACGTTAATAATAATATTTATGTAAAGCAAATAAGATACTTTATTTGTAAGAAATTCTTACAAATGTTTATTTAAGTACAAATCGATATAAAACATCAAGGCTTACGAGGGGGGAATGGGGGTAACCAAATACAATAATGTTTTCATATTTATTGTAATTTATAACACATTGACAGCTATCCGATAAAAAATTACACTCAGGGCCTTTTCTATAGTGATAAGTATTGAGAATTAAAGAAAGTGCTATACGACTAGATAACTGCTTACCACTAACATGTGAAATTAATTTTATACATATATTTTGATTTCAATTACAGTTCCGACACGATATGATGGCCGTTTTGACAGATTACAATAATGAGGTCAAATTTCAATTCATTAATAAATCGAAAATAATATAATCAAATGCGAGTCGCATCTCTAACTTTTTAGATTTATAATTGATTTTGCTGATTAGAAAGTTTTAATAAAACGAAAATAAAAAAGTTTATTTATTGTATTGTAAATTCGAACTTATTTGCATTGAGCTTTGACGCGAGTTTGCCGGAGGTGGAAGTTGTGCTGGCCAGCGATCCCATAAGTGACGATCGTATTAAGATTTCATTTTTTTAAATTTCGATAAACAAATGCCGAGTGCGGCGAGTGAGCGCCAAATGCGGGCAAACGTTAAAACGGTCATCTTATCCGGTGTGTTGCAAGTGAATAGGCATCCGGTATTCGGCCGAATAGTGATTCACTATTGGGTACTAGGCCGAATAGCTTAACACAGGCCGAATAAGCCAAATACCGATTAATAATAATGCCATAATATCGAGTTCTTAGGTTTTCGCGATTGTTACACATAGGAATGAAACTATTTTTCCGATTCGTTTGAAAAAACAAGTATACGCGATTTAAATCCGGAACAATAGTTTCATTTCCAATGACATAATAATTTCTTTATTAACAAAAACGGAGATCAACACAAGTAACTACCACAAATTGTACATAAAAGTAAGTAAATGTACAAATCGATTGTTTAACTCCATTATTCAAACTAAGCACAAACAGCACCTTGGATATCAGTGTTCGGCCATGTCATTTGCCCTGTTTGAGTACTAATTACAAAATATAATTGGAATAGTAAAAGGGATATTGGTTGCAACTAAAAAAATGTTTCAATTGCGGCATTAATTTTTTATTGAGTTATTCCACTTTGTTTTTAATTTCATAATTTCATGCGCGATGTTAAAAACATAATAGTACCTACATTGTGAATTATGGACGTTAATTAAGGAATTACTACAGAAAGTCTATCAGAAGCTCAAAGCCAAAGGCTGAGGGTTTTAATAACTTTTTTTGTATTTTTTTTTACCGTCTGTGATACATACAATGTTTTCCATCACAATTGCGAGGAAACAAAATACACAATATAAATATGAATGGCGGGTTTTTTGTTTTTTTTTAATTCGTCCATAGATGATACAACTCGCACTAAAATGTTGTAAAAAGCAAACACGTATACAGCCTTAGAATAACGCATAGACTGATAGTTTCATATCAAACGAACTGTCACAAGTGAGGCAAAAATCAAGTTCATGTAGGCTAGTTTTAGTAGTAGGTTCATTTTCGGTTTTAGTGAATATTTATATAAAAATACAAGTTGAAACGCGTTACTTCCTCGTGGAATGTGATGTTCGTATCTATTTTATGTTTGTCTGACGTATTTTTACACTCATTTACCGCACATTTCGTCATTTTTAGCTAAAATTCTTGATCTGTTCGCGGTGCAAGTTGACCTTGAGCACTGAAGGCCCGCCCGCTCGTGTAGGCCCATTGGGCGCGCTTCAATTTGCCTCACTTAGTGTGTGCGGACTAGGTTTCTATGCGTTATTATTCTAAGCATACAGCCATGATGGAGTGTAAAAAATAAATTGCGAATTTTTTATACAGAAAATAATTAAAATCAATTATAAGAAATTCTTAATAATAAGTATTTAAGTTGTATGTGCGTGAATTGCAATTAAATTTAAGTTTAGATAACGTTTTAAGCTAATGTTTTAATTTTGAACTTACGTAACTTCCTTACTTGAAACTGAACCTCGCCTAATTAAGGAAGTATGTCGTGCTGCAAATTAAAAAAAAAACTTACAGACCATGGCTGCAATGCAAAGAAAAAAGGGCCTTGGGTTTTATTTAGGGCATTATAGTCAAGTTAACCAATCATTTACCGTTTACGAGCAAAATTGAAGAAATCTTTTATATTGTCAGATATTTCTTTTTTTATTTCAATATAATATGTTTCATCGCCTATCTATCATTATTGTTTAATCTTGAATATATATTTTTTTTAATACCAAAGATATGAATTTTTGTATAGAGTTTACAACTTTGAGATATATGTATCAGCATATCTAACTTAACCTACCCACTTTTACAGTTCGTATTCGAAACTACAGAAATCCCAAAAATGGAGGATTGTCTATCGTACGCCATCGACATCGGATATCGACATGTCGACACGGCTCATCTCTATCGTGTCGAGCCTGAAATCGGCGCTGTGATCAACAAGAAGATCAAGGAGGGTGTTTGCTCGCGGGAAGATTTGTTTGTCACCACTAAGGTAGTTTTACTTTTATGGTCATAATTATATTAATTATAACCAGTGGTTAGAATAGAGGGTTCCAAGTGAGTAGATAAATGTTTACATTTAAATACAAGGAGTGACGTACAGTTGTTAAACACAAAAGAAAAAAACAATGGAAGTATCAGAACCGATGTCGCCAAAACTCACGCATTCTAAATTTGAAACACTGAAATCTTGATATTGATTGGCCGTAGTTTCAAATTTAAAAAGAAATAACAAAATCTGGATAGTTAATATTAGGGGTTAAAGTATGAAATTGCCGTTTTATTGCAATAGGTTCTTTGAATTTTCATAGAATCTTCATGGTTTGAGGTTTTCGAATGAAACTTTTTTCAAATGGTTTGTGATTTTTTTTTTTTAATTTGAAACATTTGAATATCGACTTTCAATTGTTTTTGTTATTCAATTTAGACAAGAAAGATGGATACTGCGAAAATTCGAGTGATTTTTGAACACGAGTTCCGACGCGAAACTAACGCGGCAGAAACAGCCCGCAATATCAATGCTGCGTTTGGAGAGGGGTCTACTAATGAACGCACCGTGCGATTTTGGTTTAAACGCTTCCGTGATGGAAATTTCGACTTAAAGAACGAGCCACGAGGAAGACCGCCCACACAGGTGAATAACGATGAATTAAGAGAGATAGTGGAAGCCGATCCTAGTCAAACTACCCAGGAATTAGCGGCATGGTTTAACATTACCTTACCCACAATATTGACTCACTTGCGTCAAATCAATAAAATAAAAAAATACGAAAAATGGGTGTCTCATGATTTGACTGATCTGCAGAAAGAAACGCGTGTTGAAACTTGTGTTGCCTTGTTGAACCGGTACAGAAATGAAGGAATATTGGATCGAATTGTAATATGTGATGAAAAGTGGATTCTTTGTGATAACCGGAAAAGAAAAATGCAATGGCTGACCCCAGGTCAAATGCCACAACAGTGTCCTAAAGCAAAACTTACCAATAAAAAGGTAATGGTAACTGTTTGGTGGTCTCAGCATGGTGTTATTCACTATAGTTTTCTCCGATCTGGTCAAGCAATAACGGCAGATGTCTATTGTGCCGAACTCCGAAGCATGTTGACAAAACTAGCAGTAAAACAGCCCCGACTCATGAATCGATCTTCACCATTATTGCTCCACGACAACGCGAGACCTCACACAGCACGAGAAACCATTTTGACCCTTCAGGAACTGCAGTTAGAAACCATTCGTCATCCTCCGTATTCACCAGACCTTGCTCCAACGGACTACCATTTTTTTCGTGATTTGGACAATTATCTACGTGACAAGAAGTTTTCTTCCCAGGAGGCAGTACAAAATGCTTTCACACAGTTTGTGCAGTCTAGATCATCGGAGTTCTATCGCAAAGGCATTAATAACCTTCCCATTAGATGGCAGCAATGTATAGATAATAATGGCAACTATTTTGATTAAATAAATTTGTTAAAAACTTAAAAAATAAACAATTTAGATTTTCAGTACAAATCGGCAATTTCATACTTTAACCCCTATTATAATTTTAACTTTACCTTGTTGGTATATCGTTGAAAATTCAATGCCATCAATACCTGTTATTAGAAGTTACGACGTTTGATATTATATTAAAATTTCAACCAATGTGCTGCAATCTAGCGATTAATTGCTGTACGATGATGAATTGGAGTTATTTATTTAGTTCTCCAAACAAGAAACTACTATATTGCAGGGGTATAAGCTTTACTTTCGTTTCTAGTAACAAAAAATATTTCAATAGACAGAAAATTGAAAATTTATTAAATAAGACTTTTTGATGACTCGAATTACCACCTCGGGTAATATTTATTTATATAATAATTATTTATATAATAACCATACCGTACAAAGCGGAAATGGCGGACTTAGCTCAGACAGATCTTTCGAGACCTATAGTTAGCACACGTTGTACGCTAACTAACCATTTCTATTGTATTTATTATTCTGTGAGTTAAAACCACCAAATATCTATTACCACTTTCGCGCTAGTATTGTCACAGATTACTTATTATTTACTAATAACTAAATTTGATTAATGACGCCAGGCGCTCACTACGAAAAAGTAACCTATGTGGGGCGCATTATAAGTTTCCGGAATGAATAAGAAAAAAATACTATAAATGGTCAGAAATGAATTTATTGTTTCTCAAAATATTCTCCGTTAGCGTTAATGCAGTTAATTTTGAAAACATTTATGCCACTCCTCTGTGACAATCTCTAAAAACATATTTTTCATACTCTTCGACAGCCTCTTCAGGTGATGAAAATCGTTGACCGCGTTCAAAAATTCATTTGTCTGTGTGGCCGTGTGAGAACTGGCATTATCGTGGTGAAAGATGATACGGCGCGGCGTTTACGGTTATTTTTACAGAGTTTGTCAATAACTTCCGGCAAACAAATGGTCGTGTACCATTCACTACTCACGGTACAACGATTCTCCAAAGAAACAGTAGTCACGTATCCAGTTTTAATAAAAAAAGAAGCAATCATCCGCTTAGAGTTCTATTATATAAGAGTTCCATTTTCGAATGTTGTAATTACTTTTTAAATATTGTTTATGTAAGTCGCCAGTTCCGGAAACTTATAGTGCGCCCTGTGCGCCGCTCAGAGAGGTGAAAATAACGTTTCCCGCCGTTTGCAGTCGTGCGGAGCCGAATGCTCATAAATGAAAGACTTGTATGAGCGCTATTGCCGACGTCAATACACTCATTGGTAGGTAGGCGCTTATCGCGTAACCTTGAGCGAGTTATGGAGCCCTACACGGTAAAAAGAGATTACTTAGAAAAAGACAAAATTCTTTTTATGAAGACAAATTTATTAAATCCAACAAAACGATCCTCTCCCTATAGACGCTAGAGAATAATTACTTGATAATAGTAAAAAAACGTCTCAAAAGTGTATTTTAGTTATAAGACAGAAATATTTAATCCAAGAGCAAATTAATTTACTTCAAGTCACAAAGCTACTCTAGATTCAACAAAATATTTATTTGTTATTAGAAATGTCCGATATTTATTTGAAAAAAAAGAATGAAAAATTTAGAGTTACTTAATTATTTGACTAAAGATTTGTTTTCTAATATCAAAAAGGGTAAATTTACAGGGTTATGGACCCAACAGTATGTCTCACTAGCGTGAAAGCACACAGTTCAGTATCAAACCTTAAAGTAGCAGAATTAGAACGGAATCTTCTTAAGTATAAATGCTACAGCGGCAGAAAGCATTATCAATTAATAATATATGAGATGACTCTAGACTATTGAAGTTAACAAAACGATAGCGCGTTTCAGAGTACAACTAATGCCATCTAGCAGTGGCGTGATGGAACTAATTGCATTAAAGTTGTGCTTGTTACAAGTGTGGTTTGATTTCATGCTGAAACCAAATTTCTTAAATTATGACTATAAATAACACCCTAACAAACTAGAGATACTACGTATTGTTTCTTTGGATAAATGACTGTTTATGATTTTTATGATTACAAGCACAAGTAAAAGTAATCGTAACCGCGTGCGCCTTCGACGACATGTCATGACGACATTGACTATGAAAACGCAACGAAATGTTGCTTTAAGAATATACTCTAGAATTTAGAATATTAGTCTGAATAGAAAACTACTTCATTTTTTGTTTAAGAATATATTTTCTTAAAATACACCCAAGAAATTTTGAATTAATTTAAGATTATTTAAATTTGATGTAAAAGGTAAAAATTTCTTGATATAAGTAATGTCCAATTAATTGATTAGAAATGAAATAAAATCTTGAAGTGAACGTATTTGTCTCAAAGTTAGAATAAAGTTAAGAGTAAAATTGTATTAGAAAAAGATACGCAGTATTTTTATAATGACAATATTTTATTACTTTTAATAAATATTTTTTCAGAATTAGCAAATATTTTGAGAAATTGCTCTTTCTTATTAGTAGAAATCCTTTTTTTCTGTGTAGCATCGAAATGTATACCATATATACCATCATCAATAAATGTTGACATCTGTAAACGTTAGTTCTTCTGATTACATTAATGCATTCTCCATTATAGGTGTGGCAAGACCACCACCGTCCGGAGGCCGTGGTGGAGTCCTGTCGAGCCTCTCTTCGTCGCATGAACCTGGACTACGTCGACCAGCTTCTGATGCACTGGCCAATGTCCATCAGCGTATGTACAACCTGAAACTATAATCATTAGTCAAGCGGGACATGGTCACTCTATAACGCGTAATCAAGAACGTACAGGGTGTAGGAATGCACGCGGGAAAGCTTACACGCGTTTTTGTTAACAACGGAAAGAGCGTCCGTGTAAAGGTTAATCAATCAGGATAGATGGCGTGAAACTGGCGAGTGTTGGAGTGCGCAACTTATGAGAGCTCACACGGCATTGTATTTTTTGTTGCAGTATAAATCTTACCGACTAAACAGTGGCGCATACATTAGATATAGAACCATTCACACGGTGTTTGTCCTGCAAAAAAACGCCCACAGCTCAATACGTTTATCGAATACGCAACGGACTTGTCAACCAAATCGAATGAACTTTAACGTATTCGATGTGCAGTGGTGCAATGTATTAATGCATCTCTTTCACACGGCGCGACGTCATACTTTTTTTATCGAATAGTCACCGAACAAGCGGCGTCTATTGAAGTATATTTTGGAAGGAGAATCTTCTGTGGACAACGATTTATTTATTGATGTCTTTAGTGGAACATTTCACTTTATAGGCACATTTAGTAGAAAAATGTTACTACAGCCGGAAACAGTTTTTTGGAGAACGAAGAACGACATCCAACCTACTCCTTTTTATACCATTTTGCACCAAAAGTATCAAGTTATTTTATTATTATCATTATTATTGTTTAATTTATTAGCTTTTGTTTAAAAATACTTTACTAGTATGTCCTTTTATTTTTTAAATTTTAATTAATATATATTTTTTAATTGCGGCGCCCTAACAGCTTTACCTTTCCATCCAACGTATTTACACGCACGCTCACGTATCACGCGTGATAAAGTGTCTGTGTGAAACCCGCTGATCTCGAAGATCCCAGTATCTCGAATTATAATGTGTAATACCTTTTTGATAATGCTACACTCCCTTGTCATAGCCAACGCATTTGCATTACGGTAACTTTCGAGATAATGGCATATAAATTTTTTGTAGTATAAATGAAACAATAAAATTGAAACTATATAAGACATTTAAAAACCGGTTATACGAGGTTGAAGATCTCGTTTTGTTGATTCCAGTTATGTTAAAAATATCAGGGCAGACATATTGTCCCTTATCCGTCATTACTGTCGATATCGTGTCTAGATTGAGGCAAATTCGTTAAGGAAACATATTTTTGGTTAAGCACTTTACAACTTGAGCTGTGTCATGCGACCACCTAATTCTACTAATGAGCTGTATTATGACTTGCGAATAAAACACAAAACGCCTGATTTTTTTTTCGAGCAATTTTACCTAACGGCATTTTAAGCCCATACAAAATACTAAGTGCTAGGCACCTGTCTGTTTTACTCCAATGAATAACTTTTAAAACCCATCTCGCTTTCGTATATGTTAATAATACAGTGGGAAATATGTCTTCCCCGCCGAAATAGACTATCTCTCCGATCTACGGAGATATTGTCTAACGTATAGTACTATAAATGCAAAAGACATGTATCAGCGTCTCTTAGCGTTCTTTTGTGTGTAATTTGCAGTTGTAATTTTCTAAAGGATCACTTTATACTGTGAATGTTATAACACTTTTCAGGATGAAGGTGTTGACGAGAAGATAGACTACGTGGAGACCTGGCGAGGATTCGAGAAAGTATTGGAGAAGGGGCTCGCCAAGTCCATCGGCGTCTCCAACTTTACCGTGGATCAGCTGAAGCGTCTGCTGGCTAATTGCAAAACCCCGCCGGCTACTAACCAAGTTGAGGTCAATAATAACATTACAGTATCTGAAAATAAAATAAGTTATATCAGAAAAAATAAAAGTAACAATAGAGCTTCTCGTTGAGTTGTTCCGGAAAAATACTTTGAAATATTTCTTGAATAAAAACAAATGTATTTAACATAATCAAGTCTTGGTTACGCACCCCATTCAGTAGTTTGGGTTAGGTTAGTATATGAAATCACTAGCCGAGCGAGCGAAGCAAGCGTGACGCGGCAGCGGCCGGCGAGTGCCGGAAGCGAATCTGTTTGCGATTCCGAACTTGTTTTCAGATATATCCTTACCCTAGTGAAATAAAGTGAACGATGATCACAGAAATGCTCGGACTTTTACCATTGGGAGTTAGTCAATCTTAGGTTTCACTGGAAAATTTTAAGATGTACCGTATTTCGGACTTGTGCAGTAACACTTGCATCTAATAATTTTTAAGGGAGCAGAATATCCTCTTAGCCTCATTTTTGTGTTTATTATTTGCAATATTGATATGCAGCGGTGTACAGAAAAATCCTTATGGTTTATGCATTGACTTACAAATAAATGGACAACGGGTCTAATACAAAAACCACGAAAAAAATGTCCCAAGTCAACCATTTAAACGTAGTGACATGTAAAGGAATATGAAAAAGCTAAAATGTTGAATTTAAATTGTAATGTCATCGCAGTACTGTCTAATTTTGCTTGCTTCGCTGTCAGTCGAACAAACGAAGACTAAAGCTTGAATGACGCTCTGTATACGATTTTAACGCCCTATAAGTTCGGACAGTTTTTAGCGCGGACCCGACATATATATAATTGTAAGTCAATGGGTTTATGCGACACTTTATTATGTATTTTTAACCGACTCTTTAAAAATGGAGGAGGTTCTCAATTGGACCATATGTTTTTTTTGTATGTATATTACGCGATATCTCCAATCAGTTATTTTTTGTTGGAAAGAGGGTACCTCCATAGCCACCTCTAAGGGTGGCTGTTCACGATTGAAGATTCATTTTTATAAATAGCGCTTAAATTTTATTATAAGGAGCAATTATTTTAATGGTTGATTTTGCTATTCTCCGATTCAAGGCGTTTTTCTCTCTCAATATACTTTGAGTAGTGAGAACTGATTTTTATTATCTCCTGTGTCAAGTCCCGTATAATGGCGAACTAGGGGATGAATCCGGGTTTGCGCACTTTCCGGTAACCGAATTCAATATAACTTGGTAATTATATGTACTTCCACGTACTTTTGAGGTCGGTTTTTTTAGTACTCGATACTGAGGTTAGGTTATTACTTTATAATCTACGCATGTTATAAATAAAAATTTAAAAATTTTCAATTATAATTATTACATCCTCAGATCAATTTGACTCTCGGCCAAAAAGAACTCGTGGACTTCTGCCAATCGCAAAAGATTGTAGTCGTCGCGTACTCCCCGTTCGGAAGAATGGTACCGAGTCGGGAGACTCCGAATAGTCCAGAGCCGAAGCTGAACAACCCCACAATGGTTGCTATCGCCAAGAAGCACGGAAAAACCGTCACGCAGGTTACATTGAGATACTTGGTGAGTACTACGAAAACTTTAAAAAACTAGAAAGAAGAAAGATAGAAAGAAAATTCATTTATTTGCACACCACAAATGACACCACTCAGAAAAAAACACAATCAAAACTAAAAACAAAAGAAATAAACAAAACGGTGAAAAAGAAATAAAAATAAGAAAACATAATACAAGAACCAACAGAAAAAAAAGAAGAACAAAACATTCGTACTTGAGACACAAATAAATAATAACGGAACAAAATCACAAACAAAACGAAAACTAAAGTACACCATAGGCATCACAGGTTATTTAATTAAATATAAGACACTACATATAAAGATACTTTGTGTGGTGCCAGCTGCGGTAACAAAAGGGTCATTAACTCAATATTTGCTGGAAAACGCAATGCGTTCCCAACACCAATTTTCAGTTAGGACCCTAAGTGAGGTCACGGAACAACATATGCGATAATTCTTACTTAAGAAAAATAATAAAATACACTTACCTATAAGTGTATACATATACCTATAAGTGCGTGTGTGGGGGTGTGCGTGTGCGTGTGCGCGTTCGTGTGAGTGAACGCGTGCGTGTGATGAAAGGGTGCAAGTGACATTTAAAAAAAATGTATACTGACGTAATCTTTACGTATGCCTAAGGGTCGGTAGCGGAGGTCATTAAAATCGAAACTTATATAAAAAGGAAAGTGATGCCGTGAGCAATCAAAAGGCCAATTTTTCCCTGGTGGGTAAAGTATGATGTATGAAATGTAGAATTTATCACAAGCGCCCTTTCAGTTAAAGGCGGCAGAACTAGTGAAAATTATTTTTTTACATACAATAAGAACATAAATTCCACTATTGGAGAAAACAACATCAAAACATAAAAACACAATCAAGCCGAGCCTGCCCTGTCAATGTAAAACAAATTGAAGTGCTTTTCCACCGGCGAGGCGAGACGAGATGAGGCGAGGCGAGAATAGAAATCTCGGCGACCTATTTCCTAGAGTTATTCGTCTAGCGATAAACACGCGGCTAAAGTACCATGTCCCGCAAGTACTTATTATTAAATATGTTTACGGAACAAGAATCAGATGGAGATACTGCAAGAAGAAATAATCATGTTGTAATATTAAGCTATTTGTATCCTCTAAGATAAAATAAATAAATAAAAAGTACTTTTTCGAAAATATTTTGGGATTTATTTATTTATTTATTTATTTATTTATTTGGGATAACAACAGCAATAAAAATAGGTTACAAAAAATTAAATTACATATTACAAAGCCAGTAACAGTTATCCTCGATTTATACATTAAAATAAAAACAGAGCACGGGGTGTCCATAAGCATCATAAATAATTATACAGATTATATACATACATATAATTGTGAAACAAATTAAGTAAACTAAATACGTACACTTACATAGAAATAATACTTACTATACACAATAAAACTTAGTATTAATAATTATTATACACTATACCTACATATGAATACAACTTAACACTAAATCATAAATCATAAATACTTCTAACAATATAAAAATATCAAACTATAACTATAAAAGAAATGAATAAATAAATGAGCAAAATAAAATTAAATATTAAAATTTGAAAATTAATTTTTTAATGTTTGACTGAAAAGAATGCTTTTTATCTACAAAGATAACAACAGAAATATTTATTGTAACCAGTAACTAATCTTGTGAGCACAGAGTTTTTACCGTAGTTTGTGCAGTGAAATGGTACATGAAAAAGAGACGTATGTCTGGTACGATGGGCAGGCACTCGAAAACTTATTTGCTGTAGTAAATCTGGACAATCCAAACGACCACTGACTACATCAAACAAAAGACCCATATCCAACAACTCACGACGCTCCTGGAGACTTAACAAATTGTATGTGCGACAGATATCAACGTAAGGTGAATGATGATCGGTTAATCTACATTTGTAATTCAAATGTTTTAGGACCCTCTTTTGGATTCGTTCAATTTGATTAATATAAACACTTTAGAGTGGCGACCATATAGGACTAGCATAGTCCAATATGCTACGGACATATGCCGAATACAATAATTTTAAAGTGATCGCACAATTAAACGATTAACAAGTTCGTAGAACAAATCCCAAGTTCCTATATGCCCTGTTAGTGATACTGTTAAAATGATGAGACATAAGCATTTTGTAATCAAAATAAACACTCAGGTCCCTCTCAATAGCGATGCCACTGAAATGGTACGGATGTACAATTGGATGTATTTTACGAGTAAAACTTATACATTGACATTTACTGGCGTTGACTGTGATTCTGTTACTATTATAATAATTGTACAAATTGTTTAAATCGTGTTGTAATAGCTCACAGTCAGCTGTGGATCGGACTTGCATGTAAATCTTTTTGTCGTCGGCATAGAGTAAATTCTTAGCGTTAATTATGTGATTATTAATGTCGTAAATATAGGCGTTGTAAAACAGAGGTCCAAGGTGTGAGCCCTGACGGACGCCGGAAGGAATTGTAAAGTAATCGGACCTAAATCCTCCCAAGACCACAGCCTGAGAACGATTGGTCAAATAAGATCGCACCCAACGAAGTAAGTCTCCGCGTATACCTAATGTCTCTAATTTGTGAAGGAGAATGTCGTGGTCCACACGATCAAAAGCTTTTTCGAAGTCAGTGTAGACCACGTCTTCCTGACCTCCATTATAAATAAACTTTTATCCCAGGGCAAATATTACGAACTAGCAAAATACACATAAAAAAGTTTACAACTGGCGTTGGAATGTTTACATTGCAACTATATTGTGTTTACATTAGTAGTGGTTACATTAGGATTGACGTTCAATTCGGGTGGTGTGAATAAAAATGAAAAGACATCGTGCAATATCAAATCGAATCGGTCGACAACTGAGTTATCGTAAGGTTCTTAATCAAACCCCGTTACGTAATATAAACCAAACTTCTTTTAATTTCAGTATCAACGAGGAATAGTGACCATCCCAAAAACAGTCACAAAAAGCAGAGTTCTTGAGAACGCATCGATTTTCGACTTCACACTTGACAAAGAAGACGTGGCGGCGATCGCAAAATTCGACATCGGCTCTCGTACCGTTCGGCCGATCTTCTGGCAGGACTTTACGAATTATCCATTCGACAAAGTCCCATTGGAGAAAAATATGGAGATACCTCCTGCTTTCCTTAAGTGGAAGAATGGAAAGAATTTGAACATTGATTAGATTTTAAGACTTTCGTGGTTATTCACTAGTATCAGGTTTCTTACCACGGTATGACTTCTTTTTATTTTC